TGGGGGCTGAGTAAACATCCTGGTCATTAGAAGGGACAAAAATTTGATTCCTTCTCCAGGAGCTCATTTGCTCCTGGAGAAGTTCATTGAACTTCCGCTGCATTACGTCTGCATTGCTGGGCCTCCTTCCCTTCTTATAGGAAGGAGATGAGGGCTGGTACAGCTAAACTTCTTCACCTTTTAGGGACACAGCGTATAGAGTTCTTGTAGCTATGACTAAATGTCCTACAACCTGCTGCTGACTAACCTTAGACTGTTACAAAGAGCACGAACAGCTCTCCTGTGGTTTGCACTATCCATCTGCGTGACCTTGCCTTTTTAAGCAGAGTCACTCTGGAAGACGGGTGTAATTTTAATCAGTAGATTGCTCTGTCCTGCAGACACAGCCAAGTGATATCACAAAGTGGCCAGATTGAATCTCATGGAAAACTGTACTCTAGTTCTCCCTGTGCCTGCATGGCTTAACTGCATCAGAGCTCACCGTGCTGAACTCGGTTTGTTGCCTACTGCCTATTCGCAGTAAATCTGTATGAATATATGGTAGTGAGTGAGTTACCTGTAACTTGAACTTGGAAGCTGAATGCTTCTCTTTTCCCTAACCCGTTCTGGAGCTCAACAGTGTAGGTGCCGCTGTCAGTGAGCTCAGCTGCTCCAATCAGCAGCTGGGTGGTACCATCTTTGGTGTTTATTGTAGCCTGGTTTGGAAGAGGAAGCCCATCCTTTAACCAGGTCACCACTGGATCTGGAGATGCCTGTAAAGAACAACATGAGTTATAGACCTCTTGCTTTGCCTCCAGGTTGCGTCTTTACATCTTTAGTTTCATTATCTTGTCCCAAATGTATACCTACATGACACAGCAAAGCAATATTTAGAAATATGGATCCAAGATGGATCTGAGAGCCCTGGATAAAGGGCTGCTCTAAAGTTTCTTTGTAACTTTTCTCTTTCTCAGTGTCTTTCAAGTATGTTATTGTAGTAAGGTGTTCACCTATGCCAAACTAGGTGTGCTAGGTCAAGAACAACAGATGACATTAGTAGTTAATATTTTCTACTTTTAAAAAGATCTGCTGGTTTTGGAAAGAAAAAACATCCTCGAAGTCTTTATTTCCATTGTGCAATCTTTGGTCTGTATTCCCCAAGAGATTAGGAGAAAGGCCAGCAAATATGCACACTTTGCCTTCATCAACCTCTTCTTGATATCCCAGACTTTACCTGTGTTGTTCCAAGTTTACGTCAAAGCACACAGGATTTCTGTCAGTGCATACCTATTTTGCAAGTCATACAGCTTAAGTCCTGCTGCTTAGTAAGACAAACACATTCAAGAGGATGTTGCTAGAAATGCTACCCCAAGGCCTTCTGAGGGAGTCAGAGGGAAATCAACTGATTTTTAAACTCTAAGTATGACAGATTAGTACCAGATTATGATAATATTGATATGGCTGGATGGATGCGCCTTGTTTACAGAGGTTAATGAATGACCATAATCTCCTAAAACACTAATGGCAAGAGTGACAGCTGAATTCTTGTTCATGTTTTCCTCATGCAGAAAGTATACACAGCACAGGCAGGTTAAACAATTTGCCCAGTGTCTTGTAAACAAAAGTCCATGCCAAGAAAACAGTAGCTCAGTTTTCACGTCTATTGACTACAACATAAAAACAGATGGGGAATTCTTACAAACATATTTGAATACTTACTTCAAAGGGAATATTCACTTGGATGGTATTTCCTGCTTTTATAACCAGTAAGCTTTTCACTGTGTCATCTATTAGTAACCTGGGAGAAACTGGAAAAGACGGTGATTACAATAAAAAGTTGTACATTATTACAGAGTCACTGGCTGACAAACTCATATGCATGTGTTCGATACCCCTAATGCCTTTCCAACAGCGAGTCTGCAGGCTGTTGATAAACTCATAGTGGTACTGTGGAAAAAAAGCTCCTTGATTCAGAACCAGAGTTTACACCTTTCAAATTTTATTACTATTTATTTATCACTATGACTAAACAAGGGGAAATGATGTAAAAATACATTCACAACAATGTTTGTATACATGTGACGTCTCAATCATGGAGGAATTGGCTCTTTAGCTCACTTTACCCCATCACATGGTTGATCTTTTGTGTAAAATGACATCTGGGGAAAAGGAAGTTGCAATGGACACTTCTGAAATATACGTGCAATACAGTACAGAACATCCTCCGGAAACCGGCCTGAGTTTATTAAAAATAATCTTTTTTAGTATTTAAAATATTTTTTCTTTCTTTTCTCTTTTCATCAATATATTATAGTATTTAGCATTTTTCTAAAAATGCCAAATACGATACTGCTAAATTGTATTTAGCGTTTCCAGTTTAAAACTGAAAAAGCTGCTTCCCAGATGGACTTCTATTTATTTATTTAATGATTGATTATAACAGGGCTCTCCAGACATAGGTCAAAAGTAGACATTTTCACTTAGGACCCAAGTTAAGGAAGATGAATCTCTCACAGAATTATCTCTTGCTTCTGTATTTCTGCAACATTCCCAAACAGCAGGGGAAAAAGAAGAGAGCTGCAGATTGTAAATAAAGATGAAAAAGTGAAAATGGTGAAAACTGTCAAACTAGAAAATTAAAAAGGAAAATAAAGTTTACCAAAACCAACATAACAATTGCTATTTAAGAGAATGAAATAAAATGTTTAATTCCACAAGACTCTGTAAAAATAGACCGAAAACTCTGTTTTTCCCTTAAAAGAGCATGGGTAGGCATAAGGTATGTGCAGTTTCTGTCTGGTGATCATGACTGTGGTATAGCTCCACACAGGGGGTAAAATGTAAATCCGAGGAGAAAATACAGTTTTGGGGGTTCTTTCACCATAATGAGTCTTTAACATGAGCTGAACACCATGCATTGCACATTTATTATCAGTTAAATCTTCAGAATTTCCTGATGAGGTGACCAAATAAGACCATACTCTAGAGTAGCAATGTGGTACTTGTCCTTCTGCTACAATCTGGGACTTGAAAGAAGCTCATCACAGTGACCTACAGACTTTGCCTGCATCCTGTTACCTATAGAATGACCTCGTTCATTCTGAAAGCAGCCCACTGACTTACCTACAGGGGGAGCAGCTTCAATGCAAGCTTCAAGCTCTGCAGCTTCTCCTGGGCCACTGTCGTTGAGGGCTCTCACACGTAGGAAGTACATCTCCTTGGCTTGGAGGCCTTTAACTGTGTAAGTGGTCACCTCTATGGGAAGAGCATTGCATTTGGTCCAGTTGAGGTTGTTAGAAGACCGCATCTCCACGTCATAGCCTTTCACATCACTCCCATCTTTTGCTTCAGGTCTCTTCCATGTCAAGGTGACACTAGTGCTGTCACTGCTGCTCACTTTAAGGTCCTGCACTTGACCTGGAGATTCTGAAAAGAGGAATTTTATTTAAACTATTTTTCTAGGATTTCTGTCCCCTCTTTTCAGTCACTTCCTGAGATTCCCTAACATTCTTGAAGTGCACTGGATATCCACCCTGCTGTCTTGCCTCCACCTTGTCCCAGTTCTTCAAAGCTGGATCCAGGTGCCTGCTCCTGCCAGCCATACAGTACAACCATCTGCAACATTCCTGAAACAGTCTGCAACCCATCCTGAATACTTCTCCACACTGCACATCATAACTCCCACACAGGGAGTCTGCCACATCTTGACTTATCACAGAGGAAATCCTTCCATTCCTTCCTCATGCTGATAGCAGATTCCCAGCCATGAAACATTTCCCAGTTATTTGATCTTTGTCTTCATATACTTTTACAAAGCATTTAAAAACATCGCCTCTCCACTAACATCGCCAGTCTACATTCAGCTTTACATATCCCCAAGCTAGAAGAATGGGGGTCAGTGCACTTACCCATGGAATCCCGGGCAAAGACAGGTTGTGATGGTTCACTGGCATCTCCTATGCCAGCAGCATTGACAGCTGCCACACGAAATTCATACTGCAGACCTTTCTTGAGACTGGTCATTTTCAGCTTCTTGTCTGCAGAAAGGAAAGGAACATGTTGGCTCAGGTGAGCTGTTCCCCAGGCAGAAAAGGGTGAGACAACAATGTTGTACTTTACTCCATGTAGAATTTTAGACTGAATAATTCTCAGGAACCATGTATAAACGCTGTCACTGATTCCTCTGCCCTTCCCTATCCAAGTGCATGTGAACTTCTGGGACGTGTTCATTGTATTCCCTTTCAAATCAAACAGCACTTGAGAGCTATTAAGGTAGAGAAAGGATAAATGCTGCTTTTCCTCATGGGATAATCCTAAACTCTTCTATACCAGATAAGAATTCCTAGCTTGCACCTGATACATAATGCTAGCTATAGTCAAAACACATTTTGGAGCTCATACACATCACTTGGGTTTCTTTATATTCCTTGCATTTATAAATTCATGTCTGCCAAGTTCCTAGCATGAGGACGAAGGACGGTAGTTCTGCATGTGAAGTGAAGACTTCAGTTCCAGAAATTGAAGACATCAGTTTATCTATAGAGGAGCTGTGACCCAGGATGCAGCAGTGAGCTTCTCTGCACTCTTCTCCAGACTTATGCTTGCGCACAATCTAGAAAAAAATCATAATCCTCCTCCCAGGCATTCAGCTGTATAATAAAACCAAGGCCTGGCTTTGCTATGGCACAGCTGTGTAACCTTACCTGTGAAGAAACCTTACCAGTGAAAAAATGCATACACTAGAGCTGTGAAAGATAAGAACATAAAACTTCAGATGGGGTAATATGGTTGTGATGGGGACAGTCAGCAGCTCAAGAGTTCAAGAGGAAAAACACTGATGTGAAAAGGTATAAGACCCTAAGCAGAAAGCAAGGAGTTAGAAGGCAGCAACTCCACAAAGACCAGTGTGTTACCTCCTGAACTCAGCTGACCTTTTTGTCTTTTTCAAGTCTTCCAGTCTGTTCCAGGATTTAAGCTACATACCTGCTATAGGCACACTGTTGACTGGCAGCCAGGCCATGGTACCCTTCTTGCGTTTTTGAACGATGTATCCCACAATTCGGGAACTGCCAGTTTTACGAGGTGCTTTCCAGGATATTGTTATGGTGTCTCTGCTGGCACTGACAATCTCGGGGGGATCTGGGGCACCAGGTGAAGCTAGAAAGAGATTAGTGTTTCATTATTAGCAGGTATATTTTTATTGCAAGATAAGAAAGTGTTCCGTGTCATTTCTTCTTCCAGTTTCCCCAAGATATTCATATGGATGTGTTTTGAAAACCTGACTGAGACCTGAAGCTGTGTATCCTATTCCCCACACAAACAGGATCCAGCATGGACTTCTGTTCCTGAATTCTGTTTTCATGAATGACCTGCTGTCATCACGACTGACAATTCCACTGTCAACCTACAGAGTGAGGCATGTACATTCTTACATAGCAGGAAAAGTCAGCGTTATTCTTGCTTTTAATGACAGAAACTGGAAACAGAATGGATTTTCTTATCCCTCTGCACTCAAAATACAGGGCTTCTCATAATCATGAGAAGGAGAACGTAGAAAGAAGAAAATTAGAAATAGAATAGAGCATTGCTTTCTCTCTAGTACTACATTTGTGCTCATGGCAAAACTGTTCTAGTATTTAAATTCATTGAAGGACAAAGAATAGAATTAGTTGTTTGGAAATCAGGGGAATGAAGCAGCATACTGAAAAATGCTGCACATACAGAGACACTCCATTGCCTAAGGAGTTAAGAAAAGGCCTCACATGTCACCATTGTAGCCACCCCGGTAAACATTTTCTCTGATCTTGATGCATATTGCATCTACCCCATGAAACTTGCTTTCCAATTCAGAATGGAGCATAACTGAGAACATAACGCCAAAGCATCAGCAAAGCCTACAATAAACTTACAGTCTCAATGTGCAATCTCCACAGATTTGTGTGAAGACTTCACAGCTGTGATTCAAGTTTAGATCTGTAGCAACATCCAAAATGCAGTGAGTTTTCTTTGATGTCAGCTTTGATAATTAATTCCCCAGATAGTTGTCGAACACAATTATGAAAAGTTCTTCCTTACCTTTACTGACAGCCTTCACTTCATCTGATTCCAGTGCGTCGCTAGTTCCCTCAGCATTCACAGCTCTCACCCTGAAGTAGTAGCTCATGTCTTTTTCCACTTTATTAGTAGTGAAGGTAGTACAGCTCCTGGGGGTTTCTCCCAAAGTCACCCAGTCATTCTTGCCTACCTGCTGTCTCTCGACAATGTAGCTTTGCAGTGGTTTGCCCCCATCATCCTTTGGGGGCTTCCACTCAATGGTGATGTCATTTGCAGTGCTTTCTACAATTTTGATGGGTCCTGCAGGTGGCTGTGGCTTGTCTGAAAAGATGAACACAAAGAGACTATGTGTTGGCTCCAGACCCAGACGTGCTCCTGGGTTTGGAGCAGACACTGTCTCTTGCTCACCAGCTAGGAGACTCAGTTTCTGATGGAGTACGTGCATAGTTGCAGAATGAGGGCTAGGCACTTGAATTGCCTCTTCAAAACTTCCACTCTTCTAACTTTTGATAAGTGTGGGGGAAGCCAGGCCCTTGCTCCATGGACTAATTGTTCTCATAAGCACTGCACCAATTCAGCTTGCTTATAGGGAAGAACACCATTTCTGGTCTTCCAAAAGAGCACAGACATTTATGGTAGGGCTGAATTTGGCCCTGATAATGTATTGTAGATTTGCCTGTTGCACATAGTCCCATCTCCCACAGCCGCTCAACATTCAAAACTCAGCTGCTGAGGCCATGAAAAACTAAACTAGATTAGTGTCACCTTGCACTAAAGGGCAAGAAACACATCAGAAATCTTTGCTTGTACCCCGATTTAGTGGAAAATCACATAGTCTTGTCCATCTTGGAATACCCAGTAGCTCTAAATAAGATTGTCACCAGTGTTAACGGGTTCCCTGCCTAAGCTTTACAATGAAAGTCACAGTGGATGTTATGGGGCTCTTACCTGTTACCACAAGCTTGAAGTTGATCTCCAGGACCCCACTGTCATTCTTCAGCCTGACTTTGTAATCCCCACAGTCCTTTCTCTCACTGCTGGAGATGGACAGCATGGTAAAGGTCTCTGTTTTATCAACACGAATCCTTGTGTCATCTACTAGCTCCATTCTGTCCTTTAGCCATGTTGCTCTGACTGGCAGCCGGCCCTCAAAAGGGATCTTGATTTTTACTTTCTGCCCTGCCTTGGCCACAGTAGGAACACTTAAGTTTTTGAGGAGAACTTTGTCAACCTGTGGAGGATCTAAGCAGATGATACAAGTTCATTAAAAACTGCAATTCAAAGAGGATAAGGCTCACCTTGGAGCTAAGGGCTTCCCTCACGATGCTGCCAATAATGCTTAAAAGCTCACAACATTTGGACCTTCACCTTTAGTTCCATGCTCAGTGCTTCATACACATACATGTACTTTGCTACAGGATAATTATCACGAAGTATTTGTGGTATCATACTGTCATTTTCACTGGAGCAAATTTCTCATAGGCAATACACTAAACACAAGAATGAAGAATCTGGTCTGATAAAGTGTTATGCGCACCCCAAAATCTTTGAGTTAATAATAGAAGCTATTCAGGAAAGCTCCCTAGTTAAATTTGTAAATACAAAATGCACCAACCTGTACAAAAACTATCTCCCATTTACATGGTAATTCTTTATAATAAAGTTGTCTCAATAACCAACTATAGGTCTCTGAGAAAACATATTACGTTTCAAGCACATCAAGGCTAGCATGTTGCATTGGTAGTTTGAATAGACTCACCTTCAACAAAAACTGAAGCTTCAGTTTTTATATCTCCACCTTCAAACCTGTATTTCCCAGCATGAATATCTTCCGCTTTGTTAATAATTAGTTTGTGGACTAGACCTTCCTTTTCAAAAAAGACTCCATCCATGCTTGTTAACTACAAGGTAAAGCACAGAGACCCATTCTTAAAAAAAAAAAAAAAAAAAGAAGGGCAATCCAAACTTAAACTAGACAGACATAAATTTGAAATGTAATTGAAAAGCCGTATGAATGACAGGCATGTTTAATTACAATAATATTCTGGGATTACTCATCTGGTAACATTGTATGTAAGCATTGTAAACATACTCCCCACAAAGATCTGATTCAAAGTCCATTAAAATAAATTTTAGTAAAATCTCCAAGCTCTCTCTTTCTATTCTTAATGACAAAAACTTTGGCCCATGCTCAAGTGTGACACCTCAGAACTCCTACAGTATCATCTGGATCCCACAGCTGGAGTTACTTTTCAGTGTTGTTTTGGAACATAGAATATGATGTCTATGCTTGACCTTAAGCACTAATTTGAAAGAATACTCTTCACGTTACGCCTGCCTGAAGGATCCTTTGAAGATTTTCCCTTGCTTTTTGCGTATTTCTCTCATTCACCAAGGAAAAGAAAAAGGATTGCATTGCAAGGAAGAGACCCGCACCATCTCCACCCATGAAAAAGAATGGAAAACACAAAGCCTCCTGTTGTCAGCAAGAATGGAAATGTCTTGCAGCAGGAAGGGGGAGAAATCTTGCTGGGTTTCTATCAGGAATTTTATTATCAACAGGCTCCTGCAGAATCCTTCCAGGGCCATACTCAGACTACAGAAAGACTGGCAGAAGGAAGGACACCTTGACATGACACTTGATAAAAGGTAGAGCCAGAGAGCAGAGCACTGCTAACCAAAGAAAACAGTAGCTAGAGGACACCTACCTTTAATCCATCTTTAAACCAGGTTCCTGTCACTTCATCTTTACTGACAGTGCAAGACAGCTCAGCTGGTTCCCCTTTCAGGACTCTGACAGCAACTAAATGTTTGTTGAGATGACAGCGTGGTGCTGAACATTCGGAAAAGAAAATGTTGAAAAGATGCTAACTGTGTTACACTGACAGAGAGAAATGTATAGATGAAAATGCATGTGCACATGAGGAGAAAAGAGAGCTTTTTAAAAAATATATACTGTAGTCGTGACAGGCTTTTGTACCGCAGCACTGTGGGCCAGCTGGCCTAAACTCATTACACTGAAGGGATACGCCAGCTGGCCTGCATACAATATAGTCCTAACATCAACCTAATGGGCAATGAATTAATCACAAATCACATTATCCATCTACAGATTTGCTATTTTAAGTCTATGCTAATTGTCTTGGCTCCCTCTACAGGCAGTGGGAAAAAACAGGCTACTCCAGGATACAGATATACTACTTCATCATCCTTTTCCTCTGCATTGACCAGATACAGGGCTGCCCAACCAGTTCCCCCTAAACAGCCCCAAATCACACTATTCTTTATCCCCTGTATTCCTCTTTCACTTCCCAAGTTAGTCCTTTTCCATTAACATCCTCATCCTCTCTCTAATAAACACCCCACCTCCTTCCCCATTAACTCCAATTTTGTTGATTTTACTTCCTTATTTGTATTTATGTTTTGGTTGCCTTGATAATTTCTAACTTGTCAGCAACTCCATTAGACGAGTACTCCCCTTTGGTTATACATATGAAGTTTCTCATTTCTACAATTTCCACATTATCATCTCGCTAGTGTAGCCACTGGTCTTAGTCAAGTGGCCGCATACACATTACTCTCTTTTTACAATATGCAACACCTTATTATTTCTGATGTTACAAGAGAAAAGAGCACTAAGTTAGGCCCAATGTGCATATTAATCCAATATAAGCAGGCACAGGTTTGTTCCCAGAACCTGGAAAAACACAGATCTTTGCACTAGATGTTAGAACAAATAAAGTGAAACAATAAGTTTTAAATTGGAACAATATCAAAGAAACATGGCCATAGTCCTTGAAACCACATGGGAACTAGTATGTTTGTGAACTGAAGTCTGTTCCATGTGGATCTGAATCATTTATTTGAATCAGCAGATGACACCTGCTTTAGATATTTTAAAGAAAGATCATTTAGACTTTTAAGGCAGCTTGATCTGAGCGAATTGCGTAAGGTCAAACAGCAAATCAGGTGTAGAATTAGGAATGGAGCTCAGTAACCAAATTTCTACATATAGCTACATTTGTCTAAACCATAAGAATTCACTTTCTCTCCAGGATTAGGAATGCGAGTATCAAAATGCAAAGACCAGTAATACAGAAGTCATCAATTAAACACATACCTTTCAGATCATCTAGGCAATAACACCTTCTTTTTCCCATACTTTCCGTATTCTTCAAGAAATCATTTGCTTTAATATCAACGCCGGGTTCCTGTTTTCTCTGGTTTATTGAAGGAGGTCCACCATAAAGATCTGACATCTGACCATAATCCAATGAACCTTGACCAAAACCACCTGAATTCCTCCCATCAACAGATCTGTTACGGGATTTACTCCCTGACCCTCCAAAGGCAGAATTTTTGCCATAAAGGGAGCCTAACTGTCCTAAATCTCTGCCCTCACCCCTGGCATCTCCTTGACCTGAAAGTGAGTCTCTGTCATGAGATGAACCTCTGTTCCCTGATCCTCTGAAATCACTGGCAGTGCCCTTTCCAGTTTCACCTCCCATAGAAGATTTGCCAGGATGTGAATCCAGCCCATACTCACCACCTCGTCCAACAGCACCTACCACACCTTCTTTACCATGGACCGAATGTAACTCCCTTTGATCACTTCCCAACCTGCCAACACCACCCTCACCAGCCCTAGCTCCAGCTGACCCACTGTCCTTGTCATAGGGAGATCCAGCACTCGGTATCGCAGAGCCACTGACACCACCACCTTCTGAGGAAAAGCCATCTCCTCCTACTCCACCCATATATGCTTGAGCTCTGCTCAGCATAGCATCCCTGCCATGGTGAGATCCCATTACTTCTTCACCTCCAAAAGGAAAATGAGCAGCTCCTGTCACAGCCCCAGTTGGGAGACCATCCTTTCCATAGAAAGAAACAATGCCCCTTGCACCAGCTACACCAGCACCAGCCTCAGCTGGAAGACCATCCTTTCTATATGGAGACCCAAAACCACCAAAACCAGCTACACCAGTACCAGCCCCAGTTCCCATTCCCACTGGAAGACCATCTTTTCCATGGTGAGAACCAATTCCCTCTGCACCATCTACACCAGAACCACCAACACCAGCCCCAGCTGGAAAACCATCCTTTCTATACAGAGAGCTGAATCCACCTGCACCAGCTACACCAGACCCAGCTGGGAGACTACTCTTTCACTGCGGAG